AAAGAGTAGCAGCAAGCAACGTTATTAGAGAAGAAAAGGTGTTGCTGGAGGATTCTAGAGGTTCTAGAGGACTCCCACTTTGCCTTATTTAGCATTTCTTGGTCAGCAGATCCTCCTAGGGGACACGCACTTCGCTTTCTGTGGGATACGCATACGCACTTTTGCTTAGCGGCCCCTTCATGTGCAGAGGATATAAAAAGGCATATAAAAAATATCCAAAGCCCAAGGAACGGAGTGTTTACTTCCATAACTGACATATCTCTTCATAGTGGGCAACAGAACACAGAATAAAATAGCAATAGACAGCACATGTTTTTTTAAATGTAATCTCTCCCCTGTATTTCGCCCCAAAGATACAGTTGAGAGTACAAGTGCTTTAGATGATGACATACAAGAACTACTCTGGCGAATCTTGCAGTGAGGGTTACAGGTTAATAGTAGATGGACATATTCAAGAGTGTGGTGTGCGAAAAATAAGAAGACTTTGTTGTTTGGAGAATAGGTTGGTGTTTAGTAGGATAGTTGAACAAAAATGTTACAATGGTTGTCTTATATGCTTGGTATCATATATACATTCTCATCCCATAGTCGCTATGGATATTGTCGAGATCTACAGAGATGTAACAAACACCATATGATAACTTGGACCTGAAAGGCCTCCTAGGTGAATGTTTTAAAAAAATATGGGTAATGCAATAATGGTGAGGGTGCATGCATTGTGGAACGTCTCAGATGAAGTTATCGTGGTTTTTATAATGTTTGATGTAACATACTTTGTAGGAAGTTACGATTGTTATAATATTTGTTGATATGCGGCCTCCTATACAGATCGTTGGTAAACATGCCAATGGTGAAAAAAATAAATGTCATAAAGAGTGCATGCATTGTAGAACATATTAGATATAGTTATTGTAATTTTCGTAATGTTAAATATAAGTAGATTGTGGATAAACACCACTGTGATCAAGAAAGAAATATTGTAAATTGTGCAAAGGATGGTGGAAGTTTTTAAAAAGATGGGTAATATATCTGGTGAATCTCATTGGAAGGGACGAGGATAATATTACATGTGTATTCCATATATAAAAGCTTTATTTGTGCAAGTGGTATATCTACAGTTTTTAAAATTCTTGATCTACTCTTCTGCGGTCTCAAATGTTACTTCAAGAGGCTTCTTTTCTTCCATCGTACTTTTCTCTTTGGCTTGAATACTATCTAATACACTTTGCACTATGGTTTTTTCTGTTGTTAGATCCTTCTTTTGCAAACTTACATAATATATCGGAATGTGGTTCGCGGGAAACCAACTTATCCATGTGCCATGTTTCGTAGTTGGAATAATCTTTCTCCAACAAACCTAGGTGAAAAATTAGTTCTTTTTCTTCTGCATTACCATCTGCCGAAACGTATTCCTCGCGGAGTTCTTCTTCGATAGCTGTATTTTGCTATATACTTCTCCCATTGCCTTCAGAAAATCATGATGGTCTTTTGTAGTGTAAACACTTGAGGCATTCACATTTTCGCTTTCCATAGGTCCACCATCTTCTAGAGTTTTCTTAACATCCGACTCTTGCACCTCATCATCTACTTTTTCTACAAGTTCATCTAAAGTTTCCTTAATATTCGACTCTTGCACCTCATCATCTATTTTTTCTACCGGTTCACCTTTCTCTGTCGACCTATCCTTAGACCATTGTGGCTAAAGCCCATAGCAAAGATCTTTTCTTTTTCCTTTTGGTTAAGATTATCATAGTCGACATTCTCTGCACCAATGTGGTCATCAGTCACCAAGCCAACTACAATGTTTTGCTTGCGGATCTTGAGAATGTGCTTTCCATTTACAAGTACATTCTTGGAATACTCCAATTGCTGCTGTGAAACCTTTTCCATTTCATCTTGGATATATCTGTCGGTCCTTCCACTGGTAGTTCCTCTTCTACTTCGACCTCCTCGTTGAAAAGCATCTTTCTCTCTTCATCAGACATTTCTTGAAGTTTCATCTTGCTAAGCATGGAGCGTTCCAAGATATCCATCTCTGGAACATCACCACCGCCACGCAGATGATCAAGCGTAAACAGGCCAACGTATGTATTCTTTCCACATAGCTTGACAATGTACTTAGCCTTCATCGCTAAAGTTAGTTGCATACTCAAGCATGTCGTTATTAGGATGAACCATCCATCCTCCATCCTTTGCAAGTGGTATGTCTTTCTCTGATCTAATGTTACGCACCGTTGTGGCCAGTGCAAATGTGTGTTCATCTTTTTCATCCTTAGAAACATCTACATTAGAAGATGGCTCTGCATTTTTGGGCATCTCTGAATGCCTTTCTTTCGAGAAGTCTTCTTCTCATCATCCTTAGATGGCTTTTTATGAGATAGTTTTTCATCAGGGTTATCCTTAGAGGTATCATCTCCAGATTCTACATCAGGTCTGTTATTGGACTTGCCATCATCAGAGTCTTTATCTTTAGAGGAATCATCGTCAGGAGTCAGCATTATCAGACGTATCACCATCATCTGTATCATCGTCAGAATTCTCATCAGCAGAAGACTCTTCTATTTTTTCTACATCTGCTGAAGTTGCCTCTGAAGACCCATCTTGGCCAATATGCGTGCCTCTTTCTCAGATATTTCTGGCGCAGGGAGATTCTTGCCCATGAGCTTAGGTGGACACAATGCAATGTAGAGATTCTTTTCCTTTAGCCTAATAATGTACTTTGCCATTTACAGTAAAGCTTTTTGCATACAGGAAAGCTGGATTAGTTGCATAACGCGTCCATATACATGTATTAGCGAGTGGTACATTTTTCTTGGACGTTATGTCAACTACCTTTGGACTCAACGGAAAGGAGACGGCAATTATATCTTCTTCCTCATCATCATCGGACGGCTCTTCATCCGATGACTCCTGCTTGTTTCTCTTTCGCTTCTTTGGTTCTTCATCCTCGGAAGTCATATCGTCATCGGAAGACACAAACTTAGAAGTATGTGTCTTCTTTAAAGCCTGGAAGACTGGTACGCTTGTCGACAGGTGCGTTGTGTTACTACGTTTTTATATAACCTCTATCTTGATCTGATGACGTCCACAGTATGTTTGACAAGTTTGGCTACACTACCACAATTAGCACCCTTAATAGTTGTGCCTTGACAACTTGCGCGCAGGATCGTGGACATAACAATGCATGCCTTCATCATCAACTTCCTTCATGCATTTGCGCTTGGACTTTGTGAACTTTTCTCCACAAAAGTAGTATCTCTTACTTCCTCATCCTCATCAAGCGCCTTAAAGATCTTATTTGCATCTTTCTTGTTAAACTCCACTCCCTTCTTAGAGGAGAATGTCTCAAAGGCCTGGTGATGAGCTCGATTGTAAGCTGAACGTACTTCATGTTTTTGGATATGAATAATATGGATTGTACTTGTGGTATGGTGGGTGGAATGAGTTTTCAGTTTATGTTGGTAGATTGCAGCTGCCTTAGTACACTGATATAAAGACATTGCAATAAAAGATGGTTGTATAGGTCTGGATGGTTGTATAGAATATGGATAATTGTTGGTTGGTTACTAGATCCAGGATTCAAGCAAGAGGGAAGTGGACTCCCTTTATTTATACTAATTTCAGGAACACTGCCCACATGGACATTAATAAGCGCTTGCTTATTAGCACTGCTTGGCGCTTAGGTAACAAAAGAGTTTTAAAAAAGGCATCAAGTGGTTAATAATTTAGTGTTCCTCGTATGACGTAGAGTCTTGCTTATTAAGGACTGCTTGGCATTAAAGACGGGTTTAAAATGGTTAAGAATTGTAGTATTCTTTTCTGACGTAGGGTTTGTACATGTGTTTATCACTCTTGTTAAATAAAAGGAATGCTGTAGAATTAGCATAGAATAGCATCCGATCTACTACAATAAGTACCATGCGCTTTTAATAATAGATACTCGGTGCATATTAGCGTCTTGTCAGTTAATACCGTATCCTTAAAGCTGACTAATAGGCCATGTCTGTCTATTCATTTTAAAAACCTGCAATAAGTCTACAGATTCCCATTAACATCCATTTGTCGATTTCGTACTCTAAGCTCAATGGAAAGGCCGGGTTGCATTTATTACTGCTTGATCCATTGGTGTGTCCTCATCAACATCAACATCACCATGAAGTTTTAATGACCAAGAAACTTCGTTCTGGAGTTGTTGCCAGAACGAATTTCCTTTGGTTAATTAAACTTCATGGTGATGTTGATGTTGATGAGGGACACACCAATGGATCAAGCAGTAATAATGCACCCCGGGCCTTTTCCATTGAGCTCTAGAAGTACGAATCGACAACATGGATGTTAATGGTAATCTGTTAGACTTATTGCAGGTTTTTAAAAGAATAGGACATACATGGCCTATTTAGTCAGCTTTAAGATCCCCCCCCCCCCCCCCCGGTATTAACTGCCAAGACGCTAATGATTTTCACCGGTATCTATTATTAAAGCCATGGTATTATGTAGTAGATCGGATGCTATTTCTATGCTATTCTACAGCATTCCTTTTTATTAACAAAGAGGATAAACACATGTACAAACCTACGTCATAAAATAATACTACATTCTAACCATTTTTAAACCCCGTCTTTAATGCCAAGCAGTCTTAATAAGCAAGATCTACGTCATACGAGGAACACTACATTATTAACCACTTAGATGCCTTTTTAAAACTCTTTTGTTACTAAGCGCCAAGCAGTGCTAATAAGCAAGCGCTATTAATGTCCATTGTGGCAGTGTTCCTGAATTAGTATAAATAAAGGAGTCCACTTCCCTCTTGCTTAATCTTTATCTAGTAACCAACCAACAATTATCCATATCTATACAACCATCCATACCTATACAACCATCTTTTATTGCAATTCTTTATATCAGTGTACTAAGCAGCTGCAATCTACCACACATAAACTGAAAACTCATTCACACCCACCATACCACAAGTACAATCCATATTATTCATATCCAAAAACATGAAGTACGTTCAGCTTACAATCGAGCTCATCACCAAGGCCTTTGAGACATTCTCCTCTAAGAAGGGAGTGGAGTTTAACAAGAAAGATGCAAATAAGATCTTTAAGGCGCTTGATGAGGATGAGGAAGTAGAGAGATACTACTTTTGTGGAGAAAAGTGCACCAAGTCCAAGCGCAAATGCATGAAGGAAGTTGATGATGAAGGCATGCATTGTTATGTCCACGATCCTGCGCGCAAGTGTCAAGGCACAACTATTAAGGTGCTAATTGTGGTAGTGTAGCCAAACTTGGTCAAACATACTGTGGACGTCATCAAGATCAAGATAGAGGTTATATAAAACGTAGTAACAACAACGCACCTGTCGACAAGCGTACTAAGTCTTCCAAGGCTTTAAAGAAGACACATACTTCTAAGTTTGTGTCTTCCGATGACGATATGACTTCCGAGGATGAAGAACCAAAGAAGCGAAAGAGAAACAAGCAGGAGTCATCGGATGAAGAGCCGTCCGATGATGATGATGAAGAAGATATAATTGCCGTCTCCTTTCCGTTGAGTCCAAAGGTAGTTGACATAACGTCCAAGAAAAATGTACCACTCGCTAATACATGTATATGGACGCGTTATGCAACTAATCCAGCTTTCCTGTATGCAAAAAGCTTTACTGTAAATGGCAAGTACATTATTAGGCTAAAGGAAAAGAATCTCTACATTGCATTGTGTCCACCTAAGCTCATGGGCAAAATCTCCCTGCGCCAGAAATATCTGAGAAAGAGGCACGCATATTGGCCAAGATGGGTCTTCAAGAGGCAACTTCAGCAGATGTAGAAAAAATAGAAGAGTCTTCTGCTGATGAGAATTCTGACGATGATACAGATGATGGTGATACGTCTGATAATGCTGACTCTGACGATGATTCCTCTAAAGATAAAGACTCTGATGATGGCAAGTCCAATAACAGACCTGATGTAGAATCTGGAGATGATACCTCTAAGGATAACCCTGATGAAAAACTATCTCATAAAAGCCATCTAAGGATGATGAGAAGAAGACTTCTCGAAAGAAAAGGCATTCAGAGATGCCCAAAAATGCAGAGCCATCTTCTAATGTAGATGTTTCTAAGGATGAAAAAGATGAACACACATTTGCACTGGCCACAACGGCGCGTAACATTAGATCAGAGAAAGACATACCACTTGCAAAGGATGGAGGATGGATGGTTCATCCTAATAACGACATGCTTGAGTATGCAACTAACTTTACGATGAAGGCTAAGTACATTGTCAAGCTATGTGGAAAGAATACATACGTTGGCCTGTTTACGCTTGATCATCTGCGTGGCGGTGGTGATGTTCCAGAGATGGATATCTTGGAACGCTCCATGCTTAGCAAGATGAAACTTCAAGAAATGTCTGATGAAGAGAGAAAGATGCTTTTCAACGAGGAGGTCGAAGTAGAAGAGGAACTACCAGTGGAAGGACCGACAGATATATCCAAGATGAAATGGAAAAGGTTTCACAAGCAGCAATTGGAGTATTCCAAGAATGTACTTGTAAATGGAAAGCACATTCTCAAGATCCGCAAGCAAAACATTGTAGTTGGCTTGGTGACTGATGACCACATTGGTGCAGAGAATGTCGACTATGATAATCTTAACCAAAAGGAAAAAGAAAAGATCTTTGCTATGGGCTTTAAGCCACAATGGTCTAAGGATAGGTCGACAGAGAAAGGTGAACCGGTAGAAAAAATAGATGATGAGGTGCAAGAGTCGAATATTAAGGAAACTTTAGATGAACTTGTAGAAAAAGTAGATGATGAGGTGCAAGAGTCGGATGTTAAGAAAACTCTAGAAGATGGTGGACCTATGGAAAGCGAAAATGTGAATGCCTCAAGTGTTTACACTACAAAAGACCATCATGATTTTCTGAAGGCAATGGGAGAAGTATATAGCAAAATAACAGCTATCGAAGAAGAACTCCGCGAGGAATACGTTTCGGCAGATGGTAATGCAGAAGAAAAAGAACTAATTTTTCACCTAGGTTTGTTGGAGAAAGATTATTCCAACTACGAAACATGGCACATGGATAAGTTTGGTTCCCGCGAACCACATTCCGATATATTATGTAAGTTTGCAAAAGAAGGATCTAACAACAGAAAAACCATAGTGCAAAGTGTATTAGATAGTATTCAAGCCAAAGAGAAAAGTACGATGGAAGAAAAGAAGCCTCTTGAAGTAACATTTGAGACCGCAGAAGAGTAGATCAAGAATTTTAAAAACTGTAGATATACCACTTGCACAAATAAAGCTTTTATATATGGAATACACATGTAATATTATCCTCGTCCCTTCCAATGAGATTCACCAGATATATTACCCATCTTTTTAAAAACTTCCACCATCCTTTGCACAATTTACAATATTTCTTTCTTGATCACAGTGGTGTTTATCCACAATCTACTTATATTTAACATTACGAAAATTACAATAACTATATCTAATATGTTCTACAATGCATGCACTCTTTATGACATTTATTTTTTCACCATTGGCATGTTTACCAACGATCTGTATAGGAGGCCGCATATCAACAAATATTATAACAATCGTAACTTCCTACAAAGTATGTTACATCAAACATTATAAAAACCACGATAACTTCATCTGAGACGTTCCACAATGCATGCACCCTCACCATTATTGCATTACCCATATTTTTTTAAAACATTCACCTAGGAGGCCTTTCAGGTCCAAGTTATCATATGGTGTTTGTTACATCTCTGTAGATCTCGACAATATCCATAGCGACTATGGGATGAGAATGTATATATGATACCAAGCATATAAGACAACCATTGTAACATTTTTTGTTTAACTATCCTACTAAACACCAACCTATTCTCCAAACAACAAAGTCTTCTTATTTTTCGCACACCACACTCTTGAATATGTCCATCTACTATTAACCTGTAACCCTCACTGCAAGATTCGCCAGAGTAGTTCTTGTATGTCATCATCTAAAGCACTTGTACTCTCAACTGTATCTTTGGGGCGAAATACAGGGGAGAGATTACATTTTAAAAAACATGTGCTGTCTATTGCTATTTTATTCTGTGTTCTGTTGCCCACTATGAAGAGATATGTCAGTTATGGAAGTAAACACTCCGTTCCTTGGGCTTTGGATATTTTTTATATGCCTTTTTATATCCTCTGCACATGAAGGGGCCGCTAAGCAAAAGTGCGTATGCGTATCCCACAGAAAGCGAAGTGCGTGTCCCCTAGGAGGATCTGCTGACCAAGAAATGCTAAATAAGCAAAGTGGGAGTCCTCTAGAACCTCTAGAATCCTCCAGCAACAACCTTTTCTTCTCTAATAACTTGCTTGCTGCTACTCTTTTCCTCGCTTTTGTGCTTTTTTTTTTTTTTTTTTTTTTTGCTCCTTTATTCCTCACTACAGTCTTTCATCAGCCACAACTCCAAATTTCATTTTCATCACATCTGTCACCATTCAACATGCCTTCCACTCGCCGTGCTCCTCTTACCTCCACCTCCAGTATCGATACCTCTTCAACTACAGCCTTTACAGGATACAAGCGGGTTAGAGCGACCAAACTCAACAAGGTCGCAGCCCACCAAGTCCGTCAGGTTCTCTTCCCTTACCACCACCAGGCGTACGGCTGCCACTAAATCTACTGTTACCACTCCCTCCTCTCCTTCCTCGCTTCCCATCAATAGCACTATCACCACACCCAATGCAATCGCTTCTTCTTCCTCCTCCTCTTCCCCTATTAGCAGGTGTAGCAGGTGCCGTGGAAACGATCACCAAAGGTCAACAAGTCGTCGCTGCCCACTACTTTAAAGGGAAGCAAACGACCAAGTGCAAGGATCTGCCATTCCCAGAAGCGTCACTCCAACAACTGCGACTACCTCGAAACCACCTTTGACACCGTTTCGGACGAGAGTATCCTCGCTGCACGACCCGCGTCTTTCACATCAAGCTGAAGGAACTCCTGCATGATCTGTTGAAAAACCATGTCCTCGGAAAGGCGTCGGCATGATTCATGTCATTGAGTTCCAGAAGCGTGGACTCCCCCATGCACACATTCTGCTCATCATGAGCCCCGAGCACAAGCCTGGATTGCCTGAGGACTACGACAAATACATTTCTGCCGAGATTCCTGACCCTGCAACTCATCCGGGCCGCCTATGAGACTGTTGTGAAATCCATGATCCATGGCCCATGTGGACCGGCAAACAGGAAACTCTCCATGCATGGAGAACGGCGTGTGTACCAAAGGCTATCCCAAGCCCTTCCCTCGCAACCACCACAAACGGGACCAAATGGATATCCGCAGTACCGGCGCCGCATGGATGGAAGGGACAGTCAGGATCGATGGCCGGGGAGATTTCGAGATTGACAACCGTTTGGGTCGTTCCGCACAACCCTTATCTGGCTGCAAGTATGGTGCCCATATCAATGTCGAGAGCTGCACCTCTTCCACTGCGGTCAAGTATCTTTACAAGTACGTCTACAAGGGTCATGATCGAGCCACTGTTGTGGTTCAAACAAGCCGGCACAAGACGGAGCTCAAGCCGGAGCCGGAGATCTACCTGTGCCAGAAGGCAACGAGATCATTGATTTCATCGACGGTCGCTATGTCTCTGCCTTCGAGTCTTCTTGGCGCATATTCGGTTTCGCTACACAGTGCCTATCCATCCGTCACAGGTTGCATTGCATCTTCCCGGCCAGTTCATGCACGCCTTCCGCTAGGGACGAACCCATCGCCGATGTCCTAGAGAGAGCCGCACTGGAGCGCAGTACGCTGACTGCATTCTTCGACTATAACCGCAACCATCCTGACGAACCGCCATCAAAGTACCACGACTTTCCTCAAACCCACGTTTACCTCAAGAGGGAAAAGCGATGGAAGCTCAGAGAGAGAGGATGTACAGTCGCCGACTCTTTTTTGTGCATGATACCGCAGGCGATCTGTTTATTTGCGGTTGCTACTACTCTCGGTGCCAAGTCCTATATCGTTGAGGGCCTAAGAACAGTCGAAAACGAGGTCCACCCCACGTTCAAGGCCGCCTGCATCGCCCTTGGCATGCTTCAAGATGATCGCGAGTGGGTGAACTGTCCTTCGGATGCCGCAGTCAGCCAAAACGGGATACCAACTCCGCTCCCTTTTTGCAAAGATTCTTGCCTTTTGCAACCCGACAAATCCTGATCAGCTTTGGACCACCTTTCGCGAGTGGCACTGTCTGATGATCTCCGTCCAAGGGAAA